TACTCAAAATGCCGAGCGTATCAAACGCTTTTTAAGGTTACACATCGTTATAAAACCATGAATAAAAAATAGACTCAATAAATTCTTTATCACGTTGAAGCGTAACTCTTTTAAAATTTCTTCGCAAATTTAGAAATTGTCAAAAGTTAGAACCGGCTGGCCGTATAGGTGATTTTGGAAATTTTTTGAACGGTTTCGCTAATTAAAAGTCCACGCGTGCTTTGATGGTCCTGAATATTGAGTGAATGCAATTTGTCTCGAAAAATTGTGAAATACTGCATTTGGTACGAGGTCTGTATGATAAAAACAGCGCCTCATAGTAGTGTTTCTCCTCAGATGTGGTGTATTAAAAAAAATAATAAAACATTGGTTTGCACGCACCCAGATTTATTGGCAAGAATTTGTAAACTTGTCGATTGCAACAAATTCGGCCTGATTTGTTTTCCACACCTTATCTATTGTGATCAAGAGCCATTATTGCTCTTAAATTTGACCGTACACCTTTTTGGGTGTACATATAAGGCTGTATCAACTCGATACAAGATTTGTTTCACTCCAAAATCACTTAACTTTTGAAGGGGAGCTTCGCTTTTAGCCGTGGCTAAATCTATACATTAATAATAATGATAAAGATAACGATAACGACAATGATAATGATGATAATAATAATAATAATAATAATAATAATAATAATAATAATAATAATATTAATAATAGTAATAATAATAATAATAATAAAAATAAATCAAGTGTCGTACAGAATGCGCTGGCCGAGGGAAAACGTTATTTCATCATACACCTAATGGCAATAACGTTGCCTTAGAAAAATGGCAAAAGGAAAAGCCAAATAGGAATTAAATAGGCTAATTAAGCCACATTCTCATGTTAGATTCATTTGCAGCCGATGCACTCCCCCGCTGGAATTTTCAGTTTATTGTCCTTCAGCTTTAAAACAATAGCAAATTCCAACAGGCAAATACGACGTCCATGTGCGGACGCTGACAATGAATGCATCAGGCTTATCACCCAAATTAATTCCTATTTGCCTTTTTTTCATTATTCTATGACAACGTTTTTGGAATTGGGTGTATATCAAATCAAAATACCGGCTTTAGGGTATATATGGACCACCCAGGCAAATTATACCGTCAACTCTCTTACCACCCTTGGTGCACGAGAAAGTGGTCGCTTACGGGAGGTGGCCGGTCGTCTTCGGGAAAAATCAAGAAAGTAAGCTCAAACTGAACTGATCACGTTAAAGTTATTATTTAAAGCTATTATATACCTTACAGTTTCGCATCGAATAGCGCTGGGAACTGTTGAGACATTAATTACACCTTGCATGAATGTAATAATCCACTTTTTTACCTACAGATCGTATGACAGCCATCTTTGTGGTAAGTCAACTGCTATAATCATAGAAATACTGAACTTTGGTGACATTCGAGCAGTGGTTTTCTTACAATCATACGTGATCATGCCGGTTAGTCGCTTAGGGAAAACAGAAAACAAAAGAATATGTCAAATTTTGGCCTAAAAAGTGGTCGCGTGACCCGGTTAATAAATTTAAGTATTGGTCGCTTACTTGAGTCTTATAAACAGTATTTGACTGAGAAACAAAACCCTTACGGTTATTTATAAAGTGGTCGCCTACTAGAGGTGGTCGCTATAAGACAGTTGACTGTAACTCGAAAGCGAATCCTTGAGATCTGACATCCGAAATAATTTGGGAATTCAAGTTACTAGTGACATGTTAGACGTTTTGGGTTCTCTTTAAAACTTAGTATCTTAGTATCCTGCATCAGCGTGATGGTCAACTTCATTTGTAAATTCGGTAAGTAAGTAGTTTATCCATACACGTAACACCTAAGAGCTTACAATGGTGGATTTAATGTGTATATTCCGTTTTGACTAAGCCTGCGAGTAGAACCGCCTCTCATTATCATGGTCCCTAGAAGGTGGGCACGTGCAACGTCTCCGGCGACAACGGGAGCGATGAGAAGCGGCTGTGCTCGCATTCTACTTGTAAGTCTTGTTAAGTAGTTCTCAAATTAGTTAAGCATTCTACCGTGTGACATTAAAGAGATTTAGAATCCGCTTATACCGCAAAAGGCAAATGGCAGTTTGTACCTCTTGACCAAGTTTTTTTCCCTTCACTGATCGTTTACTGTCATTATTTCTACACTAGTCTGAGTAAAGAGCCGACATTTCGTCTGGAGAAACGAGTGCCTGGAGACGAGTGCAGAAATTCCATACTGAAGACGCGTCATTACCCAGATCTGAGTAGTTCCTCTGATTGGCTGGAGCGAATTCTCTATGTGCACGACCAATCAGAGGCACCATACGTACCCAGATCTGGGTAGTGACGCGTCATCAGTATGCGCTCGTTTCTCAGACGTCATTTCGCAGGGAAACCAGAAGTGGAATTGCGAAATGTCTGCTGTTTGCAGTAGCTTTCATCCATAAGAATTGTCTAAGACCGTTTCTGTCCTCTCATTACCCAATTTTAACTTTTTAAAAATGTCAGTTTGAGTCCGACGTTTTTCGCCTGCCGTGAACGTGATTCTAAATTTCTACAATGTTGGATTGTTTACCGTGAGTTTACAAAAGACATCACGATAAGACACGTCTCACCTTAACAAGTGATGGAATTCCAGCCCAGAACTCGTAATTAGGTATCACCTCTGGTACGCTCTCAACTCCCATTTTGTACCTTTTAATGAGAATTCCAGCCACCACATAAACAAAGAGTAACAAGAAAAATCTGAAAAAAAAAATCGTACATGTAAGACTGATACAGTTAATAAACAAATTTTATGTTACAAATGGAACAGGCCCAAAATATACCTCCTTAAGGGAGGAATACGTTCGAAATCTTGGTTTGACGTAGCCTCCTTTGCAGCCGTTATAAGGGTCATCACGCAACGCTCCTCCCACCAACGGCGTTAATGAGGAGGAGCGTTGCGTGACGACCCTAATAACGGCTGCGAAGGAGACTAGGGTTGACGGTGTAATATCAAGTTTCAGTGTGTTCAAACGTGTTTTAACCAGCACCATGAAACATTTTGTCTGTTCTTAGCTGGGATTCGTTACGTGAAAACTTGTTTGCAAACGTTTGAACAGCTCACCCAATAATAAACTGGATAAGTGCATGCCTAATCATCTTAATTAATGATGATGACGATAATGACGATAATGACAATTATGATGATGATAATACCGGGAAAATTTACACAACAACAGAAGATATACAGGAAGGAGCTATCTTCATTGTCCTTGACAACACACCTCAATGTTGTTGATTTAAGGGCTAAAAACATTGTTTAGGTCGATCATTCATCTGTCATGTCGTTAGAAAAACCCCGCCGTTCTGAAAGCGTCATAACACCTCTTGCATACTGTGAAAGAGGCTTGGGCTTTTCACTGACGTTCCACTAGATTTCCACTTTGCATGAACAATAAGCTAAGTCGGGTTTCCCATGCTGCTAACATGTTGCACGATATTTAATTGGTTCGTTTAAAAAACCCCACCCAATCCGTTGAAATCTGTTTTTAAGCAAATATTATCCATGGCCTAGGTCCGAACAATATGTCCTGCACCTTTGGAATGAGGAAATTGACACTCATACCCACCTAATGCGAAGTAAAATTAGCAGTTTAACGTAAATGTAAGTATGATATCTCGCTATCCTCGACTGGCAACGGATTTTTGAATTTTATTGATGGGAATACAGCTTGCATTCACATTTTTATAGAAAGCTACTGTCGATGAGCAGATTTATCTCTGCCTGAATACGAGACCATGCATTACAAAGCAAAATCACGTCATTACAGCACATCTTTCTTCACTACTTAGTTGCGGCAATCACTTTTGAAAGGATGAGCATTATCGGTTACTTACACTATTAATATAATACTTCCAGTACTGAGTCCATTGCTGTTTTCAGCAGGATTATCGTTATTAGAGGCACAAGCGTCATCACACGCGCATTTTGTAGAAAACGTCATACTCTGTAATTGAAAACAAAAGTCGGTTAAGTTTACAACTGTGAAATGCTTTACTGTATTATATCCCACATACATTTACGAAAGAAAATACTAAAGCTAAGATAAACATGTGCTGATTCGATCGTGTGTGCGGGCTGTCTAGACAGTACAATTTTAAAATGGTTTTGAAAAGACCAAGGGTCAACTGCCAAATTCAGAAAAAATGAAAGGGTGTTTTAATTACAGCATATATTGTCTCGGGTGAATTTTGTCGCATACAAATAACTATTGTTTCTTTCTACAGGTAACTGAACAGGCTATGAAAAACTCCAAACACCCTGCTTTTCCAAGAACTTAGCCAGACTATCACGGACAATTAGTAAACAAAAATGGGGCACAGTGAAGTCAAGGTACGTTGATTTGACCCTCACGTGGGCATGCGCAGTATATGTTTTCGGTAGGTAAACCGCTGTTCAAACAAACCGTTTCACGCGATGTTGTACAGTTTCCAGGATACTGCATACATTGCGCATACGTAGTTGACAATTTTCTTTGTTTTGAGTTGCCTTAAAATAATATGGTGTGAGCATTCACTGATGAGACCTCTTCAGCAGCATTTTAACATGATACTATATGTTTAATATGTAGCCAGCTTTTCATATAGCCACTATACTCCACAGAGCTAGTTCAAAGATGACCGCCTCAAAGTAAATGGTTTTTCACTAAAAAATAAAGCAAACCATAATTCATACATATGTTGAATCTTTCACTTTGTAATCTTCTCTAACACCGTCTGTGTAGCCTGGAAACTTGTTAGGATCACATTTTAGAGTAATTTTGAAGGTCCTGAAATAAAATAAATAATTTTAAACATCACTGGGTAAATTGTCTACTCTAATCTTCACATCAAGTCAGTGTTTCGGATGAAACGAAACTCAACAACTCAAATCAAACACTACAGTTTCATTATAAATACACGCCGATATTTATATGAACATCTTGGTATTTGTGTG